CGGAGGCCGAGCCGGAGCACAACCTGCAGCTGCACTGGCAGGGCCCCCAGGGAAGTGGAGATGGACTAGGCCCACACCTGGGGTTCTGTGACCTCCACAGGGTGAGTCTGTCCTGGGAAAGGGGCCAGAGACCCATGGTGGGAGTGAGGTGAGGAGGGAGGAGGACATGATGTGGATGCCCTAGATGCCCACATCAGGTTCTGCTATCTGCCAGCTGGGAGAGCATGGGCAGGGCACACTTCCTCTCTGAACGCCAAGTCACCTGGGGAAGGGAGGAAGCGCAGGCTCCGGCAGGCGGGGTGACGGTGGACCTGAGGGAGGTGACACAGGAAGAGCACTTAGCTCACAGACGAATGCTGCTGTCATCCCAGGAGAGGTGAGGTGTGGGAGCCCCGTTCCCCCAACATTTCCCCTGGGGTTATTAGCTGGTGGACTGCTCCTTCCTTTGGTCCATCTGTCCGTCCACCATCCACCCCAGGGGCCACAAACTCTGTAAAGGGTCTGAGAGTAAATATTTAGGCTTTGCAGACCACACAGTCTTCCAGTCTTCCGTTGCGTCATGAAAGCCACCACAGATGATGTGCAAATGAGTGGGTGTGGCCGCTGCCCAGTAAAAGTTTATTTATAAGAAGCAGCAATGAGCCAGATTTGGCTCACGAACCATAGTTTGCCAGCCTCAGATCTATGTATCCCCTCATTCAGGAAACATGTTTGGGTTTCACTTGTGCCAGGCCCTGTTCCGGGGACAAGGACGGTGACAGGGACAGACAGTGCCTGTTCTCGGAGCTCACATTCCAGAGGGTGGAGGAAGATAAACAAGATGTGTGACATGTAGTCAGGCGTGGTGAACGCTGTGGAAGGACGAAGATGGGAGGGGGACGGGGTAGCAGGGGGCCTCTGGCAAGTGCGAGCTCTGTCTGTGCCAAGGCCCTGGGGTAGGAGCATGCTGACAGTGTTTGAGGAACACAGTGGCCCTTACAGAGTGTGTAAGGAGGTGAAGTTAGGAGGATAACCAGACCCCCAGGCTGTGCCAAGGAGACCAGTTTCTCCTTTAAGTGCAATGGGAAGGCAGATGACTTTGAACGGGGTGGGGGATAGTAGCTGATTTGAATTTTTTATTTTTTTAAATATATTTTATTGATTTTTACAGAGAGGAAGAGAGAGGAAGAGTCAGAAACATCAATGTGAGAGAAACATCCATCATCCGCCTCCTGCACACTCCCTATTGGGTATTTGCCCGCAACCAAGGTACGTATCCTTAACAGGAATCGAACCTGGGACCTTTCAGTCCACAGGCCAATGCTCTATCCACTGAGCCAAACCAGTTAGGGTAATTTGAATTTTTTTTTTTTTAAGGTCATTCTGGCTGTCAATGGGAGCAGGGGCTATGGGCGGGGGCAGAAGCAGAGGATGGGAGACCTGATAGACCATTGCGACAGTCCTGGTGGCCTGGACCAGGCATGGTGGGGAGAGGAAACTGTGCACCTGCAGCTCCCTGACCATTGACATGCACTGTCTCCTCTCAGGCCCTCTCAGTCTCCCCGGAGCACACCCTGGGTCAAGATTGGTGCCTGGGACATCCCACTGCAGTTGGACCTCGCTCCGGACCTGGGACATCCCACTGCAGTTGGACCTCGCTCCGGACCTGGACCACAGCCTGCACCTGAGTCTGACCCTCCGCAGCCACAGCAGGCGGTGGACCTCCGACTTCTCCAGGGAGCAGGAGGTGGGTAGCTGGGTTGGGGCTGCCTGCTCCTTAGGAAGATTCATTGACCACCTTGGTTTCCCTCTGGCCAATGAGCCATCTAGTGGCTATTATTGGAACTGCAAGCCAGTACCCTGGTGGGGACCAGAGCTTAACTGCAGAACCTTGCTGTCTAAGGCTCTCATGGTGGGATTTCTGGCTCCTGCTGTCCTCTTATGGGGGTCTTCTCTTATTGGGGGAGTCTCTTCACTGCAGCCCGAGAACAAGCAGCCCTGACACCCAGTCCTAGAACTAAGAGGCGGCAGGCAGCTAGACTCCCTGGGATTGAATCCCAAACTAGCCTCTTTCCAGTTGGCAACTTGCTTAACCTCTTCCTCAGTTTCCTCACCTGTAAAGTGGGTAATGATAATTGGGCCTACCCTACTTCCCATGAATTAATATGCAAGGGTTAAATATGTTAATTTATGTATATAGTTTAGAATAGTGCCCTATATAAAGCAGCCACTGATAATAGCTACGTAGTAAGTATTAGCTATTATTAACTTTAATTGGCCCAGCCTTCTCACCCCCTCCCTGATTCCCAGCAGCCCCGGGAGGGAGAAGGGGGCAGAGGTGGGGTGCCTCCTTCACCCCAACCTTGCCAAGTGACCTTGGGAAGGGACCTCCCTGAGCCCCGTTTCCTCGTCTGTAGGTGGGAACAGATATATTTCATAGGGTGGTTGGTGGGGTTCTGGGCACCCTCCCCTCTGCCTGCACAGCACAAGCATGCAATAGGTGCTCCATTGATGTCTGCTGGCCTCTTGTCTCCCTGGCTGGGCGACCCTGACCTTGTGGCTTTCCTTCTCTGTCAAATGGGAACAAATCCCACCTCCTCCTTAGGAGGGAAAAGCGACATCTGCACAGTGCACACAGTAGGTGCTCATGAGACGGGTGGTTCCTGCTGGCACCTGGAGCTCTCCCAGCCCATTTCCAAGTCCAGAAGGTGAGGCTGGTTCAAAGAGCTTTCCTTCCTGAGGTTGTCCGGGGCTGACCCTTAGTTTTTCATTTGCCAGCCAGGCCCAGCCACTCCGGCATCTGTAATCCCAGTGCTCTGTGGCCTGCCTCCCTGGAATCGGAGGCCTGGGAGTGACCTCTTCTCACTTGCTCACTGCTTCCATTTTGGGGTTTGTGTAGCTCTCTTGTAGCTAACATCTCTTATTCCCGCCGCCTCCTTTCCTGTGGGACAGCTGCCCACATTTCTTCAGTCCCCGCCTGACTTTCCTGGGCACCCAGCTTTCCTGCTTTCGTGCCCACTGTCGTGGGATTCCAGTGGCCCCCGTGCAGAGAAAGGCCCGATCCTGGAAGTCAGGAACTCACTCGGGCTGCAGGCAGCCAGCCAGCGGGACTCTCGCCCTTTGGTGAAGGCAACTCGGCACAGCGGGGACACAGGCCATCGGGACAGAGACCAGAGTGTAACCTACAGACGCCCCACCTGTCAATTTTCCTGGGCTCCACCCCCGCCCACTTAGAAATCCTGGGGAAAGGGGCCTCGGGAAGCTGCATGTTAATACGCACCCTGAACGCGGCTCCAAGGGCTGCCTCACAAAGCACCACAACTCAGCATTTCTTCCCTCAGTTCTGGAGCCAGAAGTCTGACATCAGGTGTCAGCGGGCCATGCTGCCCCTGAGGCTCAGGGGAGTCCTCCTGGCCTCTTCCAGCTCCTGGTGGCGGGGCAGTGAGAGAGGGGGGCCCTCCTGGGCCTCACAGAGGTGAGAGAGCCGGGAGGGGGGAGTGTGGCTGTCCATCTGGGGTAGAGGCCACCAGTCTGTAGCCAGTCCTTCTGTCTGCCGTCCAGGTTGTAGCTGTTGGGCTCCAGGTACAAGCCCATCTGGAGGAGAGGACCCAAGGTGTGGGTGCCTATGGGAGAAGGTCCCGTACCTGGGGGGTGTACTGTGGTGGGGTGTCAGGGGTGCACTTTGAGAATGGGAAGTCTGTGTGGGGATGCCCCTCTGGCCCATCCTGTGCCCCTTGCTCACAGGCATGAGGGTCTTCTGTGCCACGAACCTTAACTTGATCCTGCCTCCATTTCCCCACCAGCAGCAGGTGTAGCAGCAGGCAGGCACCCTGGACAGCTGCCTCAAGTGGGGCCGGAAGCTGTACAGGCGAGTGGCCAAGATGTGGGGCCAGACCAGACAGGCATGACCCTGCACCCAAATCCACACACACACATCCCAGGGCCCCCAGCCCAGGCCCTCTCGCCTGGCCTGGGGCCCTCTTTCAATCAAAAAGGCCGCCTGCTTTCTGGTGGGCCTGCAACCTAACTTCCTTAGACCCTCCTGCCTTATTCTCAGGGACTTCTACCTTCATGTTCTGTCAGGGTGCTGTTTCCAATCTTGCAGCTAACATCTCTTATTCCCGCCGCCTCCTTTCCTGTGGGACAGCTGCCCACATTTCTTCAGTCCCCGCCTGACTTTCCTGGGCACCCAGCTTTCCTGCTTTCGTGCCCACTGTCGTGGGATTCCAGGGCCCATTTCCGGTCCTGTGATAAGCCCCGTGTGGTTGTGCCGGGGGTGAAGGCTCCTGGCCTGCTCACCAGACACTGCTGCCCCGAGCGCCCTGCAGCTGCTGCCGCCTCTGTCCTCTCCGCGGCCCAGCGGGGAGCTGCCAGCACCTGCCGGCACCCGGGCAGCGGCCCTCTCACTGGCTGTTAACGTTCTCTCCCCCGCTTAGGTCCCTGTGCCAGAGTCCCCCTCTTCCCTGGGTCCAGGGAGTCCCCAGATACTCAGAGCGATGACTGTCACACGGAGAGGACACAGGAAAAGCCTAACAAGGTGGACAGTGCAGGGGCCAGAGCCCAAGAGACCAGGCCCGGCAAGTAGTCCAGCAGCACAGGGGACACCCTCGGTTCCCCCAGCCCAGACTGTGACGGCACCTGGCAGACCCTGTCCAGGGACCCTGTTCTCGGGCTTTTTCCTGGGGCTGGTCACGAGGGCAGCCAATGCCTGGCACGCACCAGACTCGCAGAAGGAACGGGGTGCTCAGCACAAACCAGTGTGTGCAGTTTGGGAGCCGCGGGCCTCGCTGCCCTCTTGCCAACCCTGGCTCCCCGATGCCAGCCAAGGGCTGACCTTGTGAATGGCCCTCAGAGGGGAATCTCAGGCTGCTGTGCTGACCATCTCCTGCACAGTCTCTCGTGCCCCCACCCATTCCAGGTAACAGGCCCTATTTCCTGGAGGCCGGGTCACCAGGGGACTGGCTTTCCCGCCAGCCACCAGGCCCCAGAGGCCGCACGGTGGCACTGGCTGCCTGTTGCAGGGCCCCGGCCATGCTGGAGGGTGTCTATGGGAGGGGACGCTGTAGCCCCTGGATGAGGTGCGGCCAGAGCGAGCGAGGAGGCTGTGCGGCAGCTGCAAGCCTGGGTGTGTGAGATGCAGGGGCCTGGGGGGTGGAGGCCGCACTGGAGGCCACAGGGCCACCCTGTATTTGGTGAGGTGGGTGAAGGGGTGGAACGGGGCCGATCCAGGCGGGGGTGGCCCGGGCGTCTCTCACTGCTCCCTCCCTCCCCAGGCCGCCCACCGGATGCTGCTTGGGCTGATGCCGCTTCTCAGAGGTGCTGCTGCTCCGCAGGCCCTTGCTGGACCCGTGCAGCTTCTCACCAGGTAACGGCTGTGTGTTCCCTGTGCTCCTGCCCCCGCAGGCTGTGCTCCAATACCCTCGCGCTCTGACACCCTCGTTCTACTCATTCTTATGACAACCTTGCGGCGAGGCAGGCGTGCTCAGTCCCCACCTTACACATGAGGCGACAGGGGCCTCCTCGGTCGCATACATTTTATGAGCACTTTCTCAGGTGCTGTTCCAGATGCTGTCGCTACAGGGTGAGAGAGACAGACCCTTGCCTCGTGCGGCCCGTTTCCTGGGCAGCGGGTCCCTGTGGCAGTAGCCAGGCGTCCGCACCAGCGTTGGCAAACCTTCCTGAGGAAAGGGCCCAGGGGCAGGTTTGCAGGCTTTGTCAGCCCGGTGGTCTCTCCCGTGGTCTGTTTTGTCCCTCCTCACCCGAGGACATTTTTTCCCATTGGTTTTTAGAGCCAGTGGAAGGAGGGCGGGGGACAGAGGGCCCCTCTGAATGGGAGTCCTGCACCCTCCTCCCTGGGAGCCCCCACGCCCTTTGGGATGGGGCAGCAGGACCCTCAGGGGCAAGAAGAGAGCAGGCCCACTCCTGGGCGCCTCTGGCCCAGGCTGAGCCCCAAGGTGACTCCGCCGCCCCAGGTCACATAGGACTAAGCTGGGCTGCAGCTCCAGGCTCTGTCCAGCATAGAAAAGCCTGGGCCAGGGGCTCCGTCCGCCCTGGCAAGCAGCTCAGGGCTCCAGGCCAGCGCCCTCCTAGGGGACTGACTGCACCGGAAAAGCAAAAGGCAGCCCTTCAGTTCAGCTGGAAGTGGCTAATTGAGTCCAGCCTCTCGGACAGTCAGGGACTGCAGTCCTGGCTTGTGTCTGAGTGCAGTCTGGGCTCACTCCTATGGGTCACACATGGGCTGTTCCTGAGCCCCATTCCTCAGCGCTGGGAGGGTCTGGGCAGGCAGGAGGGCACCCAGGGCAGGGGCCAGGCTGGGGTTGTAATCACACGAGTGGGAACTCACTGAGGGCACGAGGCAGCCCTCCCAGGGTCAGGGGGTCCGTTCATCGGTAGGCAGCTGCTGCTGGGGGATGGCCTGGTCTTGACCTTCAGCTCCACCAGCTGACAAAGGCTTGTCGTCCACCCAGAGGCTGCCTGGGCCTGTGGCACACAGACAGTGTGCCCTGGCCAGATGGGCCAGGACTGTCCCCGTCTTGGGCCATCTTCTGCCCTCCATGCAGAGGGCAGAGCTCGGCCCATGTGGCACCTCCCTTGTGTTGGATAGAACCTTGGCCAAAATCTTTTTTAAAATATTTTTTTTCCAGTAGTTTCATATACCACCCAGTTCGGTGGCTTTGAGCATATCCACCGAGGTGTGCACCCCTCACCAGTTACTTCTAGAACATTTCCATCACCCTCCAACCCTCAGCTGTCACCAGTCTACTGTCTCCAAGGATTTGCCTATTCTGGACACTGTGTAAACAGAACCACAGAATATGTGACCTTTTGTGATGGCTTTTCACCCACTAGAAAGTTTTCACATTCACACATGTATTCGTCCTCCTTTGCTTTTTATTGCTCACTTGGCTGTGAACTGGAAACACGTCCTTAGAGGTCAAGTCATCCTGACACTGGGGCTCCTGGGGAACTGGCTGCTGAGTCAGGGACAGAGACCACATTGCTCGGCCTGGGCCGCCCAGGAGGACATTAGCCACAGATGGACACACCGGGATGCCCTGTGCGTTTGGGGCTCCACTGTACTGGGCAGAGCTGGCCCTTCTCACCCAGCCTTTGAGCCTCTCCTCAGACCATGGTGTGTGGCCGTGCCAGGCATGCTGATCTCCGATGCCAGGCATGGTGCTCACTGCGGCAGCCTGCTGTTGGCCAAGGACTTTGCTCGTGACACTTTCTCACCAACACTGAGGTGGCCGCACCGCCTCTACCCCAGCCTGAAGGTGAGCACGGGGAGAGCTGGCCACCACGGGGGCAGGTAGCCCATATCCTTCCTGCCTGCTGCCCCAGGAGCCAGTCCCCTGTCCCACTCAGCCCTGCCGAGCCCACAACCTCCAGACCGGACTACCCCTCCCTGCCTGCGGGAGCTGTCCGAGCCCGGATCTGCCTCGTGTCCCGGCGAGGAGGGCCATCCCCAGGATCGAGCTGACCACTGAGGACGGCGCCTCTGTCACCTGTGACATCCAGCTGGCCTCTGGCTCCACGGTAGGTCTGGGCTGGCCTCGCCTAGGCCACGGTCAGCTTCCAGTGAGCACCGCTGTGTCCTCGTGTGGTTGTGAGCAGGAGGCCCAGGTCCTCTTGGGCCGAGGCTGTTCCTTGGGGACTCACAACCGGGGGGTGGAGGGAAGGTGTTGGGGGGGCCTGGAGAACAGCCTGAACGGCTCTCTCCCTGCTCCGCTCACTGATGGCTGGCCCTGCTTCTGGGGCTGTAACGCACACAGTTGCCTCATGCAACTCCCAGGGTCGTCCCGCGGTACAGGGGGCCTGGCGGGGTTAAGTGACTGGCCCACATCCACAGCCAGGGGAGCGGGCCAGGATTCGAGCCCTGCCTTGCATGCTCCAGGAAGGCAGGCCCAGAACAGCTCCCCTGGCCCAGAATACCTTGAACTGCATCCTGGCCACACGGAATGGGGATGGTGACCTGAGAGCTCACACCCTTTCCTTGGTTCCTCTTCTTCTCTCCCTCCGATGAAGGTTTGGGGCAGTAGGATGGGGTCAGGCATGGAGGGGTGGGGTTCAGCCGCCCCCTCAAAGCCCGGCCAGCTGAGCATGTAGGAGGAGGACATGTCCTGCCTTCTCCTGCCCCACAGGCATTCTGGCCGGTTTTCTGGGTGACAACAAAGCTGGGGATGAGCTGATGCTGCTGGATGCACAGTGGCCAGCAGCCTGGAGATCACCCTCCGCTGGCAGGTGAGCCAGCGGGCCAGCCCTTCCTCCCTCGGGCCTGCATGTCACTAGGGAGGTGGGAGGCTTCCCGGGCCTCACGCTTTCTTCAAAGACCTCAGGCTGAAGGGGTGGTTGATCCCTATTGAGGCTGAGCTGCCCAAGAGAAAAGAGGTCCAGGCATTTGTCCCATCAGGTAGGTGGCAACTGTAGGGCCATGGAGAAGACTCAACAGGTGTGCCTGGGACAGAGTCTGCCTTCGGGGCCTTCTCCCAGGATCTCCACTCAGCCTGGGGAAGTGCTTCCGGGTGGGGAGTGCAAGACTGGGCCTGGACCCTACGGAGGCCTCACGGCAGGTAGACCCCGGGCCAAAAAACAGCCCTTGCCCCAACCTAATCTGTGCCCTTCCTCTGAGCTCCTCCCATGGGTGCTGGATTCCAGGCGACCCCGCACCATCCAGGAACCTGTGGCTCCCAGGAAAGCCAACCTGCCCAAAACCTGGAGGCCGCCAGCATCCACCTGTCTGCCGCGACTTTGTGCCCTGGGTCTCCTTCCACAGGAGGTAAGCTGCCCCCGGCCAGCCAGCCCTCTGACCCCACGTTCCACCCCAGAGGGAAAACCAGCGCCTTTCTCCCAGCTCTGCCAAGGGAGGTCAGGCAACCATAAAGTCGCCTTCTGAAAACATGTAACTAACATACCCACCATTCAGTGGTCTGAATCCACATTTCCCACCACGTCTAGAAACCCGTGGGGACACCTGCAACCCATGTGTGCATGATTCCAATGACAGACTTCCCAACGCACAGAGGCGGAAGGCCGCGATCTCAGCAGACAACATGAGATTCCTGTTAAGTTATTCGGGACACATGTAAAAAGCACGGTAAGGCAGGGGTCACTCAAGGGGACCGCCATGATAGAATCAGGGAGCACTAAGGCTCTACCCCAAAAACAAGAAGTGGGAATTTAAGCCATGAACAGGGCAGGGATCAGTGAGATTCTGGCTAAACAGACCTGACAGGATTCTTGCAGGCCAGAATGATCTCACCTCGCCTGATGAGGACCCTATCAGGTGTGAAGGTGATCAGTTACAGAGAATGCTGGTTAAACTGACAGCAGAATTCCTATTAGAATAGAACAGTGGTCGGCAAACTGCAGCTTGCGAGCCACATGCAGCTCTTTGGCCCCTTGAGTTTTTAGCAAAGGCCAACTTAGGAGTACCCTAATTAAGTTAATAAAACTATATGGGAAGGTACATTGTTAAAACTTTGGCTCTCAAAAGAAATTTCAATCATTGTACTGTTGATATTTGGCTCTGTTGACTGAGTTTGCCGACCACTGGAATAGAATAATGCACAAACACAAGAGTCAGGGCCTACTTGAGATGAGACTTTGGTTGAGGAGAAAATCTTTCTCCAAGGCCTTCGGTCACTAGGATTCAAGGTTGTTAAAAGACATAAAAGAAATTTTAAAATGAATCCCCTTGACATTTAAATACATTTTTATTGACTTCAAAGAGGAAGGGAGAGATAGAAACTCTATCAATGATCGGCTGCCTCATGCATGTCCCCTATTGGGGATCGAGCCCACAACCCAGGTATGTGCCTATGACCTCCTGGTTCATAGGTTGACACTGGCTGGGCTCCACTGACATTTGAAAGTTATGAAAGAGGAAGGGTGCAATGAGAGGGCCCAACAGAAATCCCAGAATAAGATTTGAGAGACGTGACTCCTCAGATTCAGGAAGCACATGGTCTCCAAAATCGTATAAATAACCCATACCAGGCACGCCAGTCTGGAACTGCAGGAAACCAACAGGCCTGAGAGGGAATCTTTCAAGAAATGAGTAGATAACCCATCTCCTAACAGTAGTGACAGGAGACAGTGGAATGAATCTTTGAAGCATTAGGAGAAAATAACTGTTAAGTCCAATCTTATGCCCAGTTCAACCATTATTTAAGATTAAAGAGTAAGTAAGTGCTCAGCACTGAACTATCAAATGTTTTACTACCAGTGGGCTCTCTCCTACCAAACTCATTCACACGCTGTCTGGCTACTTCTGTGCTACGATGGCAGAACGGTGTTTGTGACAGAAGATCCGGCTACAAATCCCAAAATATTTATTGTTTGGTCTTTTACAGAAAAGGCTGGCTGATCCCTGGTGTAAACCAAATAAATTAATGAAATAGAAAGAAACAATAGAATAGATCAAGATATATAAAAAAAACAAGACTAGAAATGAGCAAGAAGTCAAAACTATAGATCCAATGTCGATGATAAATTTCAAAATCTGGATTAAATTATTTCCAAAAAAAATATAATCTGCCCAAACTGATTTGAGAAAGAATATGAAAGCTCTATTAAATCACCTGAAACGATAGGTTCAAATGTATCTCTGAAAGACCACAGGTGCCACTTAGTGAAATTACTAGATTTTTTTTTTCTCTGTGAAAGTATTAAAAGGATAGGAAGTATACACTGAGAGAAAATATTTGCAAACCACATAGCTGACAAAGGTCCGATATCTAGAATATATAAATAACAAAAAAAAAAAAATCTACGGTAAATAGAAAATGGGGGAAAACATGGAGACATTTCACCCAAAAGGACATATGGATGGCAGATAAGCACATGAAAAAATGTTTCCCAGTACCAGCCCCTAGGAAAGTGAGATGACACTAACCACCTGTTAGAACAGTTAAACAGTAACAATATCAAATGCAAGACTGCAGAGACGCTGGACCTCTGACACTGCTGGTGGACATGGAAAACAGTGCAATCGTTCTGGAAAATCGTGTGGCAGTTTCTTTAAAAGCTCAACCTACACCTACCTCAGGATTCAGCAACTGCACTCCTGGACATAATCCCAAAGAAATTCAGACATTCTCCCGAAACCTGCTCATGATGTTCCTAGCACTATTGTTTGTAATAGCTCAAAACTTGAAACAATCCCAAAAGCCTACTCCCAGTGCATGTTAGACAAATTTTGGTACATCCACACCATGGAATACTATTCAGCAATAAAAAGCACAGACTCACCCTAGCTGGTTTGGCTCAGCGGGTAGTGTCAGCCTACTGATCAAAGGGTCCTGGGTTTGATTCCAGTCAAGGACACGTACCTTGGTTGCAGGCTCCTCCCTGGCCGGGGCTGCATGCAGTAGGCAACCAATTAATGCGCTTCTGTCTTTCCCTCTCTAAAAAAAAGAAAAAAAGAAAAAAAATATCCTCATGTGATATTGACAAAAACAAGACACAGGAAACAACTTGGATGGATTTCAAGGGCATTACACTGAGAGAAAAAAAGCCAAACTCAGAAAGTCACATGCTGTATGATTCTATTTATAGAACATTCTTTAATCAAATCAGTGGCTGCTGGGTGACAGATGGGGTGGGGAGTGATTGTGGTATAGTGGGGGAGCACAAGCGGTTTGTGATGGTGGGAAGTTCCGTGTGTTGGTGGCGGTGGTGGTTACATGAATCTACATGTGTGGCAAATGTCAGAACTACATATTCACACACAGCCTACCAACGTCCTTTTCTGAGTTTTGATATAGTTATGGAAAATGTAATCGCTGGGGGAAACTGGACGAAAAATGAACAGGACCTCTCTGTCCTGTAACTGTTTCATAATAAACAGTTTTTTAAAACACCAGGCCCAGACTGTTTTATAAGCAAGTTGTAATAAGATACGAGTGTTCCAGAACAGGAAAGTGAAACTTAACTCTTCCCAGCTCATTGTAATGAAGTTAGTACTATCTTAGGATACAAAACCTCACAAGGACACAAAACCTCACAAGGACAATACAAGAGAGGAAAACTAGAAGCCCAGCTGCGAACTTGATGCAGATGTTCAACACATTGATGTTGAACATACAGGCTACTAACAGAGTAGGAAGCAAAATTCAACAAAGCATCGTGACCAGCTGAGGTCGCTGAAGTAGTGGCTTAGGCCCGATAATTCAGAACCAGCCTTCTGGGGGGGATATCCAACTACTCTAGACGGGATCCAGAAAAAGTCGGATAGGTCGAGATCCAGGGAGGAAAGGAGAGGGACATCAGCAAGAGGGCAGGCTAGCCAGCTGCAGGCCCTCACTCCTCCAGGGAAATGCCGAGTATATATAACACATGTGTCAAACACAAGGCCCGCGGGCCAAATCCGTCCCGCCAGGCCTTGCAATGTGGCCCGCACCGCGCTGTCATCACTGCACTCCGCTGCGTTTCCATCACAATGACAGTTTATGACTGTTCAGTAAACCATTCGGCCTGCGATTTAGGCTGGATTTTAGATTTTGGCCCCTTCTCTAATTGAGTTCGACACCCCTAATATATAACAACACATGGACCAAAGGAGTGAGAGCTCTAGAAACCAGCGGAGTAGCAGCACCAACGAGTGGCTCGCCAAGAAAAAGCCTCATTCAGATGCTAGGAAATTTCGTGGCGTCTGGCTTGCCTTCTGCAGTACAATTTCAAGAAAGCCAACTAATTCCTGGCTCCTCCTCGGTATGGAAGGAAAAGAGTGGAACTTGCTTGCAATATCCTGGCTTGTCCGGGGCTGCGGGGGACTGGTTTCCGTCTCTCCTGAATCAGATACTGCTGGAGGATAGAGGTTGCTGAAAGCAGAAGTGGGTGCCAGTGAAAGGAGTCTGCAAGCCTGCGAGTAGTTGGGAGCAAGATTATGGACAAAGGAATATAATACTACATCGAAACTTGAAAAGAAGCAGGTGTGAGACTCCCAGGGAAATCAGGACATTTAAAAGCAGCTGTGTAGCCCTGGCCTGTATCTCAATTGGTTAGTGTTGTCCTGATACAGGAAGGTTATAGGTCCCATCCCCGGTCAGGGCACATACAAGAATCAACCAACGAATGCATAAGTAAGTGGAACAGCAAATAACGATTCATTCTCTCTCTTCCCCGCCCCCTTCTTTCCTTCCTCTTTCTCTCTCTCTCCCTCTCTCATCAATTTAAAAGCAGCTGTGTACTAGTATATTAGGGAAGTAGAATTAAAGTACAAACATAGGCCGGGAAGATGCACCCGGAAATGTTTGAAAGAACCCAATGCCTTACATCAGCTGCTGTCTAGTTAAGGCCTTCCCTTGCACAGGGACGCACTACAAAGACTGGGAGAGTTAGGTCTTTTCAAATAGCCCAGTTTCAACAAACGATAAGACCTACAAAGAAACAAGCCCATTTAGAGGAACAAAAATCTCCAGAAACCAACTCTCAAGAAACACAGGCCTCTTGACTTACTTAGCAGGGACTTACTTTATTTTTATTTATTTATTTTTGTTAACTCTCAGCAGAGAATATTTTTTCCATTCATTTTTAGAGAGAATGGAAGGGAGAGGGAGAGAGAGACATCGATTGGTTGCCTCCCACTCACGTGCCCAAGAGGGCCAGGGATTGTGCCTGCAACAGATACATACCCTT